ACCTAAGACACAGCTTTGCTTCACACCAGTGAGAACTGCAAAGTCATCCGAGGCCTGTCCACTCAGCCACACCCCCGCGCGCATACCACTGTGCTGACATTCAATTAAACTTACAAACTTACGCGGGCAACCAAACTTACCAAACACCAGCTACAATGCCTCGCGGTTCACCGTATCAAATGCCTTGGTGAAATCAACAAACAGCGAGTACAATGGCTGGTGTCGTTCTCTGCACTTCTCCTGCAACTGACGAGCCGCAAACACCATATCTACAGTACTGCGACCTGAACGGAATCCTCATTGCTCTTCCGCTGCGGTCGGTTCCACAACCGGACTGACGAGGCGGTTAAGCAGGATTCTGGCAATCACCTTGCCGACACAACTCAGCAAGTTGATGTCACGATAATTCGTGCAACATTACTTGCCTCCTTTGCCCATTGTACACTGGTGGCACAAGGGCATGCTTCAGCTCAGGAGGCACCTCCTCCTGAATCCATACACGTTGCATCAAGTGGTGCAGCGTAGTCACTAACGCAGATCCAACGTGTTTCAGTACTTCTGACGACATCCTGTCGGCACCGGCGCACTTACTGTTTCGCGGCTGAGCAAGTGCTCTCTGCGTCGCATCCAGTGTTGGCGTGTCTGCCCGACTCATCTTAACCCCGTGCTGCTTCAGGCCGTTAAATGTCTGAACGGTTGTTCAAGAGACAGCCAAAGTGTTTCCGCCAGATCTGCATTATGTCTGATGTCTGTGTGCAGGCAGCACCTGAGCTACCATCGATCAGTGTCGTCATCTACTCTAATCTCGGTCCATACACCTCCTTTAAGGAGTCAAAGAATTCCTTGTGTTGGCGGCGTTCGCCATAGCTTTCCATCTGCTTTGCTTTCTCCGTCCGCCATACATTTTTAATGCGATAGAGCTCTCGGGTCAATCGCCCTCGAAGGTTGCGAAATTGACTTCTTCCTCAAGTAACTGGGGTCTGCCACATGTACAGCAAATGCAGCATTCTTCTCCGACACCAATGCGCTAATTGTCGTATTGTTCTCATCAAACCAATCAGGCCGCTTACAGGTTGCGCGCCCGATGGTCTCCTGGGCAGCAGCTGTCACCTGGTCGCGAATGTGGTACCACAGATCGCCCACTGTGGCTATGCAGTCCACATCACACTGGTCTGCAGCCGTTGCCTTCTCCGGCTTAATACTTTTCGCCACAGTACCGAGGGAGAGAATGTTGAATTTACGCCGATTCACGGCGGGAGTGCAATACATAGATTTACGAAAGTATATGTACAGTTTGGTCCGCACCAATATGTGATCAATGCCACACTCAGCTCTACGCAGTACACGTGTCATGCGCACTTCACGCATATCACGCTGACATACGATGACATAGTCGAGCAGGTGAGCGTGACCACTCCGTGGGTGCGTCCAAGTTGCTATATCACTCGCACTCAATGCAAACCGAGTGTTCGTGATCGCCAGGCCGTGAGTGGCACACAGTGAGGACAGCCCGTCACCGATTGCATTCGCTGAACCAATGCCATGTGAACCGATAAGATCTGTCCACACCTATGCATCACGCCCAACGCGCGCGTTGAAATCACCCAGCAGAAATAGTCGGTCGCTCCTCGAGACAGACTATCACGAAGGATAGCTGAGTGTAGAATTGATCACGCATGTCATCAGGATAATACATGGTCGGATCGTACCTGCTTATAAAGGTGGCAAACTTACCTCTTCCGAGTGGTAGGCGAACAGTCATCAGTCGCGCGCTTATGCCTGTTGTTTCACCCACCATCTGGCCATGGAAGCGACTGGATATTGCATATTCGACCGCATGCCCACGTGGTGCTGAGATTACGTAACCAACCCGTTAGCATGTATATCCAGCATCTGCTTCATGCAACTTGCCTTGCTCAGCGAGCCGGGTTTCACTAAGCGCCGCAATATCGAGGTGGTAGCGCGCCAGTTCCATCGCGACCAGTGCAGTGCGTCGCTCCGGGCGCTTACTCGAGTTCCGGTCCAGTAATGTGCGCACCCTCCAGCACCCGATTGTGAGCGCTTTGTGTTCAGGCATACGATTACCTTGGTGGGCAATCACACTCGTGGTGGTGATTGTGCTTCGGAGTTTAGCTTGAAGGACTCCACTCAGAGCCGTTGGCTCAACAGCCTGACCCACAAGGCAGTGGGGGATTTGCAGGTTAGCTTGACGGATTCCACCCGAAACCTTTGGCACAGTTGCCTGACCTACAAGACAATGGTTGGTTTGGAGATTTACTTGTGGAACTCCACTCTAAGCCTTCGATTCAATAGCCTGACCCACAAGGCGGTGGAGAGCAGATCCAGCTCGGGAATGTGCTTGCGGCGACAGATTGGGATCTGCTTGACGGTCGTCATAGGCAGTCTTTGAGGTACTGGAACAATTTATATATGTTTTGTGACCGTAGTAGTACACGCCCCTGCGACCACGTGCAGACGCAGGTGGGTTTTGGCGGGTTTGCACCAATTCGAACGGGGACTGTCTTTCTTGAGGCGGGCAGCAGCAAACCATTGGGCACCCTTAGGTGCCTTCCCACCATCAGAGACAATGAGTGGCGCTCCTGCTCTACGCCAATCTAACTGTGAGGTTATAACCCGTAGATCTGTTGTTTCCCATGGCTAGGTTTTACGGGAAGTGGGCCATCGACCACTTGCTAATTGCCGAAGAGAATGGACAAGGATACTGGCAGGGCGCCCACACCTGACAGGAGAACGTCTCGGATCCTCAGCCAAAGCCTTCGATTAAATGACCACCCGAAAGGCAACGGGTCTAGCACATGGTCAGTTCACGGACTCATGCGGATTGGTGTCCTGGATCTTAACAGGGAAAAGGGCGTAATCCAGCTCCCACCCAGCTGTCGCCATGAGGAGGCGCCCCGGACATTAGCCAATGGCACAACAGTAGCAGCAGTGGGTAGACCATCTGTCAGGAGCTATCCACCGCAATCCTCAGCGCACCGTAGACTATATATCTGTGTGTGTGAACAGAGATAGCTAACTTCTTCTTTTGCGTCACTCGAAAGAGTTAGCGCCAGAATTATAATCAATAAAGTAGTGCCGCAACAAAACATCCGTACCCCGTACCGGTGTTTCATTGCCGCATGGCCACCAGTGCTCACGTGTATGTTTTAATTACTGCGATTTCTTCCACAACTTTTCAGGGTCACGCCTTCCACCTGTGGATTGCACGTCAGACGTGTGAACCACTCGGCCAGCGGCCAGTTACTACAACTTACCTTTAATGATTATACTCCTCCTCCTCCTTATGGCATGCAGCTAGTTATTCAGATGGTCGGCAAGAAATCCCTTCGGGACATTCAATGCTCAGTTCTCATACCGAACCTCGCTCCTACCTAGTCCTTCTCTCTTGTCCCGCACCTTTTGCTTTGCACTGAATCTACCCTGAATAGACTCTCAAAATGGTCCCGCCATTCTAATGCACCTCACACCTTCAAAGTGCAAAATGTTTCTACACGACCACTAGCCACTTGATGACCCCTTGACTCTTGATGGCGGCGAACTCGAGGTAGTTGATCTATTCACTTTACTTTGGCAGTTGCATCAGCAACAATGGACGTATAGCAACTGAAGTCATTTCACGCATTACAAAGGACAGGACTGACTTTTTGAATCTGCGACATCTTTGGCGACAGAAAGGGGTTTCCCTCCGTCTGAAAGGGCGTGTTTTCAAGGCTACAGTGTGGGCCGTCCTACTCATTGGGAGTGTGACGGCCTTTTCCATCTGAGGCACCTTTAAGTCTTTGGTCATCGTTGTCTATGGAGCATTGCTGATGGCATCAACTGAACAATGATGTGCGTAAGCGAGTACTAGGCAGCTATAACGAAGCTACTTGCTTAAAACAACAAATTCACTGAATAAGTTGATTTTGCTTGAGCACGTACTTCGTATTCCTGGTCACCGCTTACCGAGGAGGGCGTTATTTTGTCTGCCAGATGTAGGGTGGTGTAAATCCCGAGGTGAACAGAAATGAGCTTGATGGCCGGAAATAAAATCACTGACAACCCAACTCGCCTTCCGGGCTGGAGTCCACGTGACTCGCCTTGTGCTTGGCTGGAGTCGTTACCGTACATGACTCGCAGTCGACACCAGTAGTATTTCTGCTGCCGTCTCCCAGTCGGACTACCTATTTAAAATGTATTTGGTTCTGTGTTGTCTGCGAGGTACTGGGTGATTATGACGCAGGGCACTGAAATCCGTAAGAAAGCTGTCTCATCAATGCCGCCATATCTTTGCACGATAGTCAGCTCTTTGTGATGGTATGTTTTTAACACGAGGTATAGGCGTCTTGACCCTGAATGTTTACTTAGGGCATTAAGATTTTCAGGTAAGTCCCCCTTCTCTCCCTCTTCTTATTCTTTATTTCATAGGTCCTCATGGTTGTATGGCAGCGAAGCATCAGTTCAACTGGCTGATGTACTGCTGTTGATGATGATGATAACCTTCACTCCGAGAGAATGGTTTCCGACTTGGAGGAGTTTCGATGTAGTTCCTCCCAACACTGGGATCCCACGACCAGTTTCGCCCTCTTTTGAGCTCATCAGATAGAGATGGCCTAAGCTTGTCGTGAAACTCGTGGTCTAATAGTTAACGGCTGGCGTCTGGATCAGAACTACATCTAATTCAATATAAACCGAGATCTCATTATAGGTTGCGTCGCGATCTAGCCTTCACGGTGGTTACTCCAAACCTTTGACTTTAGTTTTCGGCTTATTTGCACTCGACAAATGTGTGTTTCTCCACGTTCTATGGTTACATTCTCCAGATGAATGACAATGTTTTTGCTTTCCTATGCATTAACATTCTGATGTTTGAAGTGGTTGGGGTGTTCATCACTTTACGCTTCTGTTCAAGTTGCAGAGATTTAATGTTGGTGCTTTCTGTTAAAGATATGCAACCTCTTAATCTGGTTTTAAAATAACTTTCTTGCCCACCATCTCAGGACCTCGATGATTGTGACAAACGCTTACTTCACCAGTTATCGTTAGGTCAGTTGAAAACGCGTGACTTGGAAATTCTCACCGACAGTCCCGCCAAGGCAGTTGAACTTCGACGTATCGATCTGTGTCGATTGCTGTCCAACCCACACGTCATCGATCGCCTCCCTTTTCGCGGCTATGACTATCGCTTCGTTTGTGGCCAGTGCTGCGAGGAGGTGAGCATCACATTCCTCCGATGAGAGTTTTTCGTATCTACTTTCTAATCATCATTTACTCACTGCATTAGTCCAACGTTCTCCTCCAGTTTGCACATCCTTATTTCCCCATCACTTTCATGCATAACATAATGGGACCTTCTTCACTCCGTGTGTGCGAGTACCAGCCACCCATATGCAGATATACAATGATTTCTTGTTGTCATTGAAACCATCCCTGAAGCCAACCTCGAGGATCGTCCCGTATGTTCACAGTTGTGCTCTGGTGTTATTCGCACCCAGAGCTATCACTCACTTGTTCATGTAGCGCGGTGTCAAAGTTGGATTGTATTTCTTGTTTCAGCTTTGACAGCCCACTTTTTGAAGGCTGTTTTGGCATTACTAAGTGTTATGAAGGGTTTACATAGGAGTATGTCTACTTCCTTTCAAACTAAACAGCTTCATTCGCTTGGCAATAAAGTTTTAGCCCCATTTCTTACATATTTTGCATTTTCGACCCATCCCCCGAAATACAGAGGCATCACGCCACCATCGCAGTTATGTTTTGTTCCTTAGGGGAGATTACGTGTGCATAGTATTGTCCCCTTGGGTATATTCCTTCCGAGGTGATTTTGTTGCATGGTACCGTTTCCATATCCATCCTTCCTGGTCATTATGTTTATCTTTTTGTTTCCCCAGCATTTCTCTGCCCATCTTCATGACCATCTACTCATTGATCGACGCCCTTGCTTTGTCACTTCATTCTTTTGTAGAAGCACGCTGATGAAACTTTTCCCCATTTTGATTAACCATGCACCATGTTGTTAGTTTAACCTTCCCTGCGCTCCCAAGCGCTATTTTCCGGACCCTTGTTGTGGTTCCAGACCCGGTATTTCTGTATGTACACAGGCACTTCTCCCTGTAATGCGCTTCTATGTGGCATTTCACGCCGATCACCTTCATTGTGACTGATAGTTGTTTCTTTAGCTTAGGTAACCTGTGCATTGCCCAGTTTGGGCGTATTGTCGGATGTTCGCATTCCTGTTTGATTCTTATGGGACTTTGGAGGATACCAGACGTTGGCGCACAGATACGTTCAGCGGATTAACTGTACAAACACAATGTCAATACCTTGAAAGCCTAACTGTATTCATGAGCGCAATTTAGAACCTTCGTTCCATAAAACGCTAGATCAACTCGGAAGGTTTAGAATATATATAGGTTTTGTATAGGCTTGCGTTGTGACAACATATCGCTCTTGACACAAAGACTTCTTCAGACCAAGTGGACTTGTAGATTTTTGGCGCAGTTTATATCGTAAATCAGAACTATGATCAGAAGAAATAATGCTGGTTCATGGATAATTATCGTCCTAATTCAAAATCTCAGAGGGTGATTCGAGTGTCACAAGCGTGGAAACTTCCTGACTGATCTGCGTTGCCTGTATCACAGTCTGAAGTTCATTGTTGAACTTTCGCATACACACCGTGTCGCAATCCCAATGGGACGGTGTTGGGATAAAGCAGCTCCGAAACTCTCCACTTCGAATGCGCTCTCAGTGATCGTAATGACAAAGGCTTACTTCAAAGCAAACCATGACTTCACGTGAGATCACGTAGTGCCATCCAAAACCAACTGCAGAACTCAGTGGTCCAATGCTTAAGACGTCACCTGTCTATCACTGCGTGCCGGACTCCACTCACAGCACACTTCGTCTCTACCTGATGTTGTAGAATGCACCGTTGTAGCTTAGTAACTCCGAAACCTCCAGCTAGATTGGTTACCTTGGCTGTTGTTGTTCAACTGTTCAGCTAATCTGCTGCATGCGTTCTAGAACTTCTGAGAAATGCATCAATTGTGCTCCGGCGCACCGTAACGACACTTCGCTGCCACACGATCGCCACCAACCGCGGGAGGGCGGGGTATATCACAAGGTCACTCGCATCTACGTGAATTCACACGGGCGTCCTCAGAATTACGACGAAGGCGTGCAATCCTTTAGGTCACCGCGCTTTAATTCTGTGAACTAGGCTGGACCTCATTTGAAGGTCTTTGCGGAAAGTTATCTCCCCCCTATAGTACCAGACTGTCGGGTTATCTTTCGTTTCGTATATGTTTTGCTCCTGTTTTTTCATCGGCCTAATTAGAAGCAATCGGGGTACTATTCCGCCATATTATTTGTCAACGTCCCATGCAATCTCCCAGCACAACGTTGTCCTCTGCCATTTTATATTGTGGATCCGGGTTCGCGATATGACGTTGCCTCACTTGCGGATGCTCCTATCTGGTGTTTAATCGACTTGGCTCTATCCGAAGCCACTGCAACTAACGACTGTCTACGTACGGACTAGTATTGGCCCGCTCTTCGCCATATGTTAAGCTTTTTTCAGATGTTTCTTCCACTTCTTCTATTTTCAGACGACCTATTTTTTACAAGAAACGTGGTAAAAATGTTACTTTTATCTTAAGCGCTCACTCATGTCTGCTGTTGATATTTTTACTTATTCACCTTGGGTTTAAATTCTTGGCACTTGTACGTGTGTTGACTTTCGTGATGTACTATTTCATCAACGCATTCCGGTCTTCTAAAACTTGCTCCTTTTCCAATTCGTCCTTCCCGTGTGTGCCCATACTCATCCTTGCAGCTTCCACTTCGGTCCTGATTGCCACTGTGTCATCTGCACTTGACCAGGACGCAACCAGTCGGTTTTCCTCGCCGCTTGTGTCGGTTCACTTTCGGTCATATCTATCCCCCCCCTACTTATTAACTTCATTATCTACTCAGCACTCTGGGTCACATACCACAACATATCACTTATCCGTGTGGACATGGATTGGGTTTACTTGTTATTGCAATCTGTTTACGCTAATGTCACGCATTCTTAGCATTCACTGGAACATTTGCGCAATATCCTGTAGTCGCATTGTACGTGGTTATTTCTAGTGCTTCCCTTCCATCAACAGGTAATAATTGGGTCATTAGAGGGGTCATTTTTGAAGCACTCGAGTGAATGGATTCTGAATATTGTGGGAACAAGTAGCAATTTACATCTGTACAATTCCATCGAAATTGCATCAAACATGTTACGAAGGCAATCTTTGATCTGACAACACAGTGATCGTTTTTCCACTTCTCACGAGATCTCGTTAAGAATACGTGTAAATTGGGACTCACAAATATGCGATGTCAGTGGTCCATCGTTCTCAGTAACTACTAACACTGGAGGAATGTACATCCAACAATATTCTAAAATGCTGAACTGAGTTTGCTTCCGCTATATGTTTGGGCAAACCGTTCCAAAGATTGATCACTCCACGTTACAAGCACCGGGGATGGGGAACTCGCTTCAGATGTGGAACCACAAGGTTGTACTGGTGTCCGCGTGTGCTGCAAGATGTTTGCAACTGGAGCATTGACCTCAGCACGGCAGTCACCCAGATGTAGAATGCGGTGGGACATAATGAGCTCGAGTTGCAACCGACGATAGGCCAGCGTGTGTAGTTCCACCCTCTTTCCTCTGTCTTCGGACGGTAAGCCCTGCAATCTCATTGTGAACGGCGATTCGTGTTGAAGTGACTGTTGATCAACTCGATCGCTGGGACCATAACAGATGAAGCAGCTAGATATTGGGTTAGCTATCTGGGTCGCTCATCCTTCTCATCTCGTATAGCATCGCGCGCGATTCTACCGCTTCCTTTAGACAAAATACCGACAATCCTCTCCATACCTCATACCTGCTCTTCTTCGTTTCGTCTGTCAGGTCATTGGTTACGTTCCGATACCGGTAGGAAAAGTTGGCCCGTTGTTGTTAGATGGCCGATCGCACTACTTGCCGTTGGCCACAACGGAAGGCTGCTTGGTGGCTAGCACAAACCGTGGTTGCCGTGCCCTGTTCTTAGCTGGCGGAGTGAAAAGCGCTGTTTTTCGGTGAGCTCCACCTTTTTACGCTTGTTTCTCTCTAAATTTATAATGTAGTATGAACCGCGTCCTTTCGATCTGATCACATTTACGGTTGGATCCTATTGTATTGTTTTTCACCACCCTACCAGTTTTTATGTCATTTTAATTCTTCATTGAGTTTTCCGAATGCCATAGTCGCGCATCCCACTTGTAGAAACGTCCAGTTCACTTCAGGTCAATTTTGCGGCTATGCTGTGTTCCCGTAAGTGGGGTGGATCTCGTTGTCGCCTCTCGCGTGGCTGCGTTAACAATAGTAACGGATGATAATGCGCCATGCCCGACATCGAATCTAAACACCGGTGTAATCCACCCTGTGGACCCATCCACGTAGGTGATACGTATCCACCTGCCCGAGTTTCTCGCTCAATTTCTGCATATATGTACACCACGTCATCGGCTGGCCGTTTCACGGTTTCGCCAAACTGGACACTGTTACAATTCGGTCCGTACAGAACCACAATTATTGGTAAGCCGCAGCATTCGTCCCTTAACGCACGACAACCGAACACGTCAGTTTCGGCAGTACGCAGTGTGTTGTCTAGTATTAAACACAACGCTCCGCATAATTTAAAACAGTTCGATCAATAGTTAGTTGACATTAAATTGACACGCACCTGACGCTGGTGGGTCTATCCAATAGGAAACAATTGAATACAGTTTGATTGATGACTACCTTGGCGTTAGACTGACATACACTGACTTTGACAAGATCAATCAGACAAGTGAAGTCCGCTCGCGCAAATGCCACAGACACACACCGGCCCGTGGCCTAGTGGACAAGACGTCTGTCTTACAACCTGGACGTCGTGCATTCGAGCATGCGAAGGGGACCGGGCGAGCTAAAGTTACGGAGACAGTCGTCTGATCCGTACGCAGGCTCGAACCAGCGGCCTCAGGTTACAAAGTAGGCTTGTGATCCTTAATGCCACGGGCCGGTAAAAAGAAACTTGAGCGGTAGGAGCCAGTAATTTGTGGATTCTCAACCAGACGCCCGAACCACTCGATCACCGGCTGAGCATTGAAGCGTAATACGTTCAATTGCTGTAATTCTCTTTGTTATGATGATATTAGTCCACTGTCTCTTGGCATGCTTCTTTAGGGACACCCCTTAAAATGTGATTCAAGTCACTGATTTATTCTTTTATTTATACTTTTTGTTGACAATTTTAGACAACATACTAATCCTCATTATTTTGAAATCATTTTGGTCAGTCCAAGTGTTTTGATTAAAATGATTTTCTTTCTTATATGATTACAAGAAAGGGGCTTAACCGGAACATCCAAAAGATTGGTGTACTTGAAGTAATCATTCATTGCCAGCTGTGTTAGTTTTTTGTCTAGAGCACATTGTCACATATAATCATTTATAAATAAATAAATCTTTTATTTCTCGACGATGCGGGAGACTATTTCCACATTGGGAATGATCAAAATATTTACAGATTTTTTTCATCTAGGCGGGTAAGTCATTTAGCCAAAGGCTCGGGGTGGAGTCCCCTAAGTCAACTCCCTACTTCGGCTTGGGCAACCGGGTAGTATCACGCTCTCGCAAAACCATGGACTTCACTACAACGCGCACATCAGCTACTGTTCCTGCTACTCACTTTCACGCCACTCCATCACACGCCAATTGTTTGTTTGCTAACAATCCTCACTTTCGGTTACCCGATTCATCTGTTCAACGATCTGGCTGCGATTCCTTTTGCTCCGCAGATCAAGGAATTCAACCTATGGCTCTCCTTCGTCCCCGATCCTCGTTCCGTCTGGCGTGCTTCAACGTTCGGACACTCATGCAGATTGGACAGCAAGCCGGTCTAGCGTGCACCCTAGATTCCATAGACATTGATGTCTGATGCCTTTCAGAAACCCGATTGCAAGATCCCAGCACTGTGCTTACATTGACATCCCCCACTGACCACGAAGCCAGATATCACCTGCGTCTTTCTGGAGATCCAGAAGCAGCCTCAGCGGGTTTGGCTGGTGTAAGTATAGCACTAAGTGACAAAGCCGAGGCGGCACTACTGGACTGTTTCCCTATTAACAGCCTACTATGTGCAGTTCGCCACCTTGTCGGTCATCACTTGATCGATGAGAACCGCTCTGATAACGGGGAGAGACTTCTCACATTGTGCGAAGAAAACCGTCTGTTTCTTTCGAACACTAACTTCAGGCGTACGAAGAAGCGTTCCGCAACGTAGCGTCCCCCTTCTTCAACACAACCGTGGTCTCAAATTGATCACATTGTAATTAGCTTCAGATGGCGCGGCAGCGTACTGGACTGCAGGTCCTTTTGGTCTACTTTCGTTGACTCAGATCATGCTCTGGTCTGCGCGAAAATCTGTATGTGTTTTGGAGGATCCCGAAACACGAAGCACCGCAATATTGATGTAAACAGATTAACTGATTCCTCTGTCCAGGAGAGCTATCAGTCTTCAGTGGCATATGCACTCAGTTGCAATCTACCGCAGGAAATGGTAGGCAATGACCATTTCCGGACAGTCATGCTGCGGCCTAACTCGACTGGTCATCTGTCAAACAGCATAACTTGAAACATTTACATTCACGGTTAACCATGTCTGCTAGTGCCCCGTAATCGTCCGTATCCCGCTTAACAATTTTTAGATATTGGTAGCGAATGCTAAACAAAGACTGATTGGAAAGTCAATTTTAAGTACACGTTGTGTGGATGGATTGCGACGCGCAATCTCAAAGTGGACCGCGGTTCCCATTGAAGTGAACCTTGGTCATTCGATCACTAGGACCGTAGCTGATGAAGCAGCAGCAAATTGGGCGTTGCCCGCCTGAAACCACTGCACTCCATGACGCGTTTCGAGGTTATTTCCTCTCACCAGATAGAGATAGCAGGCATCGAACCCGGGACCATTGGGATGTTAGTTGTGCCTGCTACCCCTAAGCCTCCGGTTGACGACGGGCAAAGCTATCTCTATCTGATGAGAGGAAATAACCTCGAAACGCGTCATGGAGTGCAGTGGTTTCAGGCGGGCAACACCCAATTTGCTGCTGCTAAACAAAGACGTTAACTCACCAATAATTTCTTCCTGTGTTACCACTGCTTCGTTAAAAGTGATGTCCTTTGGCTCTTTGGACAGTATCTAGTCAGCAAATCTTGAATGTTCATTAGTACCGAGCTTGCGGAGCAAAAGATGCACTTTCCATGAACCATCTTGACGGCTGAAATCCGTCCGAAACATATCCTCCCAGCGTTTGAACCACGCCTCGAAAGTGCATTCGGAATCAGCATCATAATGAACTTCAGTAATTGAATTCGTAAGAACTTCAAGTGAAGCAGCCTACGTGTCCCGTGTGGCTGCTCCGTTTGACTGTACGTTCAAGCACTGCGTCAAACTTTCAATCAGTTTCATCTGTGCTTCCATCTGGGATTGTTGCTGAAAAAGCAGCTTTTGAAAATGCTCGGCAGAAACATTTGTAACATCTTCGTGCTTGTCCGTCGCCACTGTTAGACTTTCACGTTTTATCGCTATTTCGAATTGAACACCCAAAAATTTCCCCGCTCAGCTCAGCTGAAGATAAATCAAAAGTCCAACGTCCTTGACCGCGAAAAGGTGTTAACAAAAAGCTGCCAAACGTAGTCAAAATGCTATACAACTACGCCAGACATACGTCAAATATATAGGAGGCTCAGTGATCTTCGGCTTCTAGAAACCGGAGGTCAACTGGTAAAATTAGCAGCCTCCATGCCAAAACTCCGTATCCTGGCGATCACATGAAGCAATAGAAGCTTCCGGAATCTTCGAACTCAATGCACGAATGAAGATAATCGATTAATTGCTAAAATAATGGGTTTACCTTTATGTTTTTACCTTTTCCCGGATAGAACTCATCAGCGGCGGTATCTGAACAGTCTGTAAGGAAAATGTCATCCCAGTCAAGGGATCTAATAGTCAAACGGAAGCTGTTCCAGTCCAATTTGCGATATGGTCAATATTGGTGGGCATAGTGAGAGTTCATTGCCGTTATTTCGGCTACCTTAAACGTTAGCTGGATAACCTTATGATCGCTCCCAGGGAGATCACTAAGGCTCTGTGTTTGTGCGCTGGATATGCCAAACGTGAAATACAAGTCTAGAATGTTATTGCCTCTAGTAGCAGAGCATACTTACTGTGTCCATCTACGAGTGACTACTGACGAAAGAAAATTCCGATACTTACTGGGTACTGTTCGTTCCTGTCGCGAAACATCGGGCATTTTGGGGTCGCTACCTATAATTTTCTGCAAGAACGGTATCACAGATGCCTATTCGAACAATTCAATCAATTGGTTTATTTTGGCCTTGGTAGCGCCGGGCGGCAAGTAAATGCAACCAACAAGAAAACGACAGCATTTACTCTTAATCTGTATTCAGACCGAGTCCTCGTAGCTGCCTGACTTAGGAGCCTCTAATCTTCTCGCTTCTAAGGCATCATTATTATACACACCACAACCGCCACGTCGACCAGTAAGACGACCACTGGCAAAAGTTGCGAAGGCAGGATCAAGTAGCTCTGTGCATTGCGAACCAAACCAGGTTTCCGTTACACGTACAACATGTGGTCGAGAGAAGGATAATAAGGGTGCTAAGTGATGCATCTTGTTCGTCAGCGATTGAGCATTCGTTAGAAGAAGGTTACCTACATCCTTTTGGGATAGAAAGCCTGTGGCCTCTAACATCAGCCTGCTGGATCTAGAATTATCTAGTATTTTATTTTCTGAAAATTGTTGAGAGGCTAGGTACCCACGGACGTCGCGGATTTTTGGATCACCGTGTGCCGGATACTACTTTTGCTTCGGATTACTGTGTTATCAGTGTTTTTCTGTGTGGACTGTGCACCAGTATTCTTCTTTTGGCGTGTTTTCCAAGCAGTGCAACTTTGATGGCTATTCTCTGGCTAATTCCAGAGATATCATTGATTTGCCCTACTGCCATCTCTGTCCGCCATCTTGGATTT